GTGGATTCATAACATTTCAATCGTCAGTTATTCATATAAAAGGCATTAAAACATTTCAAATTCAATAGAGGCATAAAACATATTGCAAATACAATACTCTATCAAAAAAATAAGTGAATAATGTCTAACAAAATGTTTACCGTGTTATTTGTGCCTACTCCGTTAGAGTTTCAAGTGCAACGCAGCGTAGATATAGCCGAGATATTGCGCGACACCGGGCGATACAACTGTGTGTTTGCGGTGAACGGCGTTTGGAAAGCACTGCTCGAGTCCACGGGGTTTGACGTCAAACTTATGGAAAGTGTTGACTTCATTGATGCCATGAAGAACTCGCCGGACAGCAGTCTAATGGACCCAAAAAATCTAAAAATATTTTCTAAACCTCTGGAACCGACCGCTCGTATGAATACATTTTTATTGAAGTATTTCATGAGAGATGCCAAAGAAACGGATCCATACGTGAAGATTATTATCGAGGACCTGAAGCCAGACCTTATAATATCGGATCATTTTATCAATTTTCCATCGATTGTGAAATCAGGTATACCCTGGATATTCAGTTGGAATGATGGTGCACTTTCACTGGACCAGGGTCACCCTGATAAACGGCTACCACCATCCTATTTAGGTATTAATTTTAATTTTATTTTGAAAAATCATTTTTAATTTTTATTTTAAACATTATTTTGTGATTTTTAAGGATTGCCGACAAATAGTGAGACAGAAGTGAAGGAGAAATACAGACAACAACTTTGGGAAAGAAATATTGATTTGTGGTATAAATATAGGGATGAACTCATGGCTATAGGATGTCCACCACTATATGAGTTCCAGTATTGGAGTCCATCCCCTTATGCTAACTTCTATTTGGCCCCTAAGGAACTGGATTATACGGACATCAGACCACTTCCCGACACTTTCCATGGATTTGATTGTTTCAAACGCAGTGGAAATGAAGAAAAGTTTGAAATACCGGAAAATCTTAAGAATAGGTCCGGAAAACTGGTTTTCCTATTATTTGATATGTTTGTGTCGAGTAATGTAGAGCTCATGAAGAGATTGGTTGCGATTTTGTCAAAATCTAAGCACCGGTTCATTGTCTCCAAAGGTGTCAATCATAATGAGTACGAATTGGCGGACAATATGTGGGGCGAGATGTCTGTCTCACCGCATAAAGTGTTGCCAATCGTTGACCTAATCATAGCCAACCACAACAATCATGTGTCGGAGACCATGTATTTCGGGAAACCCGTGATAGTTATGCCCGTATGGTTTGACCAGTTGGATACCGCTCAGAGAGTTGTTGAGAAAGGGCTGGGGGTTAGACTGAATCCCTACGAGTGCTCTGAGAATGAATTATTGGATTCAATCGATAGCGTATTGAACGACAAAATATTGGCTCAAAAGTTGGCAAAAGTTTCCCAAAGAATACAAAGCGAAGGAAATTCCGAAAAACTCGTTAAGATTGTGGACAAATTAATTAAATAAATGTCCATGAACATTTAACAATTAATATATCTAACAGACCAAAATGTCATAAATAAAGTAACAATTTTAATTACTTACATTAATTATAATTTATAAGTACGCTTTTGATTTTTTAATAAACTAAATGGCTTTAAAATTGTATTTTAAATAAATTGAATACTTTATTTTTAAGAAGTTAAAGAAAACCTTTTTTTCGCGAGACTTCATAATTCAAACACCAGTTTAACGACAATCATATCAATTATCTCTCATAACATCTTAGCCCTGATGATGGTCTCAGTGTAGACCGAAAACGTTGGGCTCTAATCATAATTTTATTTTTAACTCCTTTTCACTGATAATTAATTTAATAAAGTATTGAAACACTAAAGTCTTAAAACCTTTTTTATAATTATATATTTTTATATCAACCAAAATTGTTTTAATAATTATAAAATTTTTTTTATTTTTAACTCCTTTTCACTGATAATTAATTTAATAAAGTATTGAAACACTAAAGTCTTAAAACCTTTTTTATAATTATATATTTTTATATCAACCAAAATTGTTTTAATAATTATAAAATTTTTAATTAATAAATAAGATATGAGACGATATACATAAGAAAGTTGTAAAATAGTCTGTACTAGAGATACATCAAACATCACACGTGTTTTAATACCTAAACATTCATAACAGCTACCCTATTAATAGTAACTTATAAATATTGCTATTAATAATACGCAAATATCATATAAGATAACATAAAACTCAATGTTAAGTCTTATACTAATATAATTATAACGTAATTAAAATGTGTATTAAATAAACTTTATTACAAATCATAATAATTTTATAAACAAAGCAATTTTAAAAAATTATATTTGAAAATGTATTTCACTAATATCATTTGATCGCAATTAAAATGAATATGAAATGACCATTTTTAAAATTACTGATAATTATAGCAATGTTGGTTTTCATTGCAATTATAATATCCATTATAAGCTCCGTGTATTTAATGTGCATTAGTTGACACTTAATTTCAAAGCAATTATATTTTACTCGTATTACTAATGAATGCAAAATGTATTTAAGGTTTGAAAAATAAAGTTAATGTCAAAAGTAGTACAATGTTTAGAGTCATGAGTAAAATCAGAAACTCTATTTCTAAAGTCAAGGAATCAAATCTAAAAGTAACTAAATATTAGGCATTATTTTAATCTTCAGCTTAAATAAACAATATGCGCGTTCATCCCACGGAAACAGTACCCCGGGTCAGGATTAATAGAGTAATACCCGGATCATTGGCCATCAGGAGTGCCGGCATAAGCCATAAGCCATTAAATGCTCAAAAGAGGCTGTGGTTTAACAAACTGATTGTTGTTTTGACAGTACTTTTTAGACTATGTTTAAGTCAATTGCTGTCAATACTAAAACCTCAACAAAATCCCGATTCTTATCAGTATTTGTCGGTCAATAGAGTAATACCCGGATCATTGGCCATCACTCATGCCGTTTCGGGTTTAATAACACCCATTAGTATTGGGATTCACGACAAACAAGTGGTCATCAAATTGCTTACATTCAGCAGAAAATGCATTAAATTCACACAAATTATTACAAATTCAATTTTCTACGTGGGTTCCATATGTTGTATAATTATATTTTTGTTTGGACTCAAATCACCCACCTATGAACTAGCACTGATAACTTGTATCCATAGTATCCTATTAGGACTATGTGGCTATTATGCCAATTGCATAATAATGTGGCAATTAGTGTATTACGCGATTATTGTCTACTATTTGTGGCTTAAAATTCAATCACTTATTCAACGATTAGTAGCCATTGATAATAGGATTCAAAATCTTCATCAAATTATGCGTAAACTAAAGGATATATTCACAGAAATCAATGAATATAACCGTATTTATTGGCAATACTTTTTGGCTATTTATTGGACCCTGATAACTGTATTCATTGCCGTATTATTATTCGTATCACTTTATGGGGACGTTATATTCATAGTAAAAATGTCCACATTTTGTATAGCCATAGAATTCCTATTAAATTTGGTGTTTATTATACACTATTCAGCGATTCTTTACAATCAGAATATTATTCTCTATAAATATTTCAACACTTATTACTCGCGTAACCGAACTAATGTGTCGCTAACTTTTAGCCGTAGATTAAAGGTTATATACAATATATAAAATATAAATGATATGTTAATACTGTAAATAAATATATTTTAAATCAAACATATCTTATAGATACTGGCATTCATTGAGCGATTGGGTGGGAAAGGGATTGGGTTTTACTGTTGGAAACTATTTCTCATCACAAGATTCAAAGGATATGAGGTTTGCATACATTTCTGGTGTTTAATTGAGTCTAATATTAAAATATCATTCCTTTCATAGATATTAAGTGTTATTCCGATACTATTCATGAAAATATTTATTATGACAATAACTAAATCTATAGTCTAATTAAGATATGAGACGGTATACATAAAAAGGTGATATTAATATGAATTTGTGAACACAAACTGTAAAATATTCTGTCCTAAAGATACAGACAAACATCACACGTGTTTTAATTCCTATGCCTTAACATGATAATAATACATAAACTAGTAACCTCTCGATACTGCTATTAATAGTCTTGTAATATAAGATCTATACATATAGTAAAATGCATAAAACTCAATGTTAAATCCTATACTAATATCGTTATAACGTATTTAAAATAAGTATCAATTTGATACTATCAAATAAACTTTATTACAATTCATGATAGTACTGTAATAATTTCTAAGCAAGGCTATTTGAAAAAATTATATTTCTAAATGTATTTTACTAATATTATTTGATCGCAATTAAAATGAATATGAAATGAACATTATTATAATTACTTAAAATGATAGCATATTGGTTTTAATTGCAAATATAACATAAATTATAAACACTATGTATTAATTGGCACTTAATTTCAAAAGCAATTATATCTTAGTCTCTGTACTAATGAAAGCAAATTGTATTTAAGATTTGAAAAATAAATACATATGATTGTACTTTCAACTTTTATTATGGATACTTTATTTAATAACATAGAGTATAATAGATGAAAGCATTCACTGTAAATAATAAATCTGATGAATACTCTACTGGTACATAGTTTAGTTAACATTGTCATATCATTAAATTTATTGTTAGTGCATTTATAACATTGGGTAACTTGTAGTGAATGCATAGAATACTGTACATTGATTACATGTAGAGTATATAAAATCTTATTCAATAAAAATGATATCATGTCTACAATGTAGAGTCTACTATACATGCATAAATATTTGTTTATTTGAGTCAAAATTTGAGTACAAATTTAGGGCAAAATTTGATTCTAAATTTAAGTCCAAATATTTATCATAGATAATAAGTGCATTCATAACATTTAAATGGCCAATAATTCATATATAAGGCGGACAAACATACAAACATTTCACATTTAATACAAGCATAAAAACATAATACTCTATCAACAAAAATCAGTAAATAATGTCTAACAAAAAGTTTACCGTGCTATTTGTGCCTTTTCCGTTTGAGGGTCAGGTGTACGGCAGCGTAGGTATGGCCGAGATATTGCGCGACACCGGGCGATACAACTGTGTGTTTGCGGTGAACGGCGTTTGGAAAGCACTGCTCGAGTCCATGGGATTTGACGTCAAACTTATGGAAAGTGTGGTCTTTAATGATGCCATAAAGGACTCGCCGGACAGCAGTCTAATGGACCCCAAAAATACAAAAACATTTGTTAAGCCTCTGGAACCGACCTCTCGTTTGCATACATTGTTTTTGAAGTACTTTATACGAGAAGCCAAAGAAACGGATCCATACCTGAAGACTATTATCGGGGATCTGAAGCCAGACCTTATAATATTGGATCATTTTATCAATTATCCATCGATTGTGAAATCAGGTATACCCTGGATATTCAGTTGTAATGATAGTGCCCTATCACTGGATTTGGGTTATCCTGATAAACGGCTACCTCCATCCTATTTAGGTATTAATGTTAATTTTATTTTAAAAAATGATTTTTAAATATAGTTTTAAACATTATTTTGTGGTTTTTAAGGATTGCCGACAAATACTGAGACAGAAGTAAAGGAGAAATACAGACAACAACTTTGGGAAAGAAATATTGATTTGTGGTATAAATATAGGGATGAACTCATGGCTATAGGATGTCCACCACTATATGAGTTCCAATACTGGAGCCCATCCCCATATGTTTGGAAAGCACTGCTCGAGTCCATGGGATTTGACGTCAAACTTATGGAAAGTGTGGTCTTTAATGATGCCATAAAGGACTCGCCGGACAGCAGTCTAATGGACCCCAAAAATACAAAAACATTTGTTAAGCCTCTGGAACCGACCTCTCGTTTGCATACTTTGTTTTTGAAGTATTTTATACGAGAAGCCAAAGAAACGGATCCATACCTGAAGACTATTATCGGGGACCTGAAGCCAGACCTTATAATATTGGATCATTTCATCAATTATCCATCGATTGTGAAATCAGGTATACCCTGGATATTCAGTTGTAATGATAGTGCCCTATCACTGGATTTGGGTTACCCTGATAAACGGCTACCACCATCCTATTTAGGTATTAATGTTAATTTTATTATAAAATAATTATTTTTAAATATAGTTTTAAACATTATTTTGTGGTTTTTAAGGATTGCCGACAAATACTGAGAGAGAAATGAAGGAGAAATACAGACAACAACTTTGGGAAAGAAATATTGATTTGTGGTATAAATATAGGGATGAACTCATGGCTATAGGATGTCCACCACTATATGAGTTCCAATACTGGAGCCCATCCCCATACGCTAACTTCTATTTAGTCCCTAAGGAACTGGATTATACGGATGTCCGACCACTTCCCGACACTTTTCATGGATTTGATTGTTATAAAAGCAGTGGAAATGAAGATTTGATTGAAATACCGGATAATCTTAAGAATAGGTCCGGAAAACTTATTTTCCTTTCATTTGATTTGTTTGCGTCCAGAGATGTAGAGCTCATGAAGAGATTGGTTGCGATTTTGTCCAAATCTAAGCACCGGTTCATTGTCTCCAAGGGCTACAGACATACTGAATACGAATTGGCGGACAATATGTGGGGCGAGAGGTCTGTCCCTTCGCATAAAGTGTTGCCAATCATAGATCTGATTATAACCAGTGGTCACAACAATAATGTGTCGGAAACCATGTATTTCGGGAAACCTATGATAGTTATGCCCGTTTGGTTGGACCAGTTGGATGCCGCTCAGAGGGTTGCTGAGAAGGGGCTGGGAGTTCGACTGAATCCCTACGAGTGCTCTGAAAATGAATTATTGGATTCAATCGACAGCGTATTGAACGACAAAATATTGGCTCAAAAGTTGGCAAAAGTTTCCCAAAGAATACAAAGCGAAGGAAATTCCCAAAAACTCGTTAAGATTGTGAACAAACTAATTAAATAAAAGTTTTAATGAATTTAATATTGTATATTAAGTCAAACAAAATATAATAAATTCTTTACTATGAAATTTATATTAGAAATTCTTGACATTAATAATTTAAAAATTTACAATTATAATAAAAATATGTTTTAAACTTAAAATTATACTTTGAATTATTCAAAAATTAATATAATTTTAATAATTATTTGTTATTTTATTTATATATACTGTACCTGTAATACTGTACCAGTGTAGTATTATAAATCTATTTGTTATAATTTACTTTTGTAATATAATTGTGCAGAATATATGTTAAAATAAAGTGAATTATTTATTTTAATAACTTATTTTGCTATAACTAACTTTAATTTAGTGATAAATAGTAGATATAGTAAACATAGTAAATATAATATATAAATGTAAAACCTTCAATATAAATAATAAATCTAATAAATACTGCTAACCTTGTCATAATAGCATTAATTTGAGTGCATTTCTAACACGAGTGCATTAGTAACACCATGCTAGTAGATAACATGAGTGCATTTATATTATAAAAATAACATTAGAGTACTTATGTAACCCACAAACCAGTATTTAATTAGCTACATGTACATTAAGTCTTATTCAATAAAACAGATATCCTATCCAATACAATAGATATTTGTTTATTTGAGTCCAAATATTTATCACATATAGAGAAGTGCTTTAATAACATTTAAATCGCCATTAATTCATATAAAAGGCGATCAAACATTTCAAATTCAATTAAACAAAAATCTAATGCAAATACAATACTCTATCAACAAAAAGCAGTGAATAATGTCTACTAAAAAGTTTACCGTGCTATTTGTGCCTACTCCATTTGAGGGTCAGGTGCACGGCAGCGTAGGTATGGCCGAGATATTGCGCGACACCGGGCGATACAACTGTGTGTTTGCGGTGAACGGTGTTTGGAAAGCACTGCTCGAGTCCAAGGGATTTGACGTCAAACTTATGGAAAGTGTTGACTTCAATGATGCCATAAAGGACTCGCTGGACAGCAGTCTAATGGACCCAAAAAATACAAAAACATTTGCTAAGTCTCTGGAACCGACCTCTCGTATAAATACATTGTTTTTGAAGTATTTTATTAGAGAAGCCAAAGAAACGGATCCATACGTGAAGACTATAATCGAGGACCTGAAGCCAGACCTTATAATATCGGATCATTTTATCAATTATCCATCGATTGTGAAATCAGGTATACCCTGGATATTCAGTTGGAATGATAGCGCACTATCACTGGATTTGGGTTATCCTGATAAACGGCTACCACCATCCTATTTAGGTATTAATGTTAATTTTATTTTAAAAAATGATTTTTAAATATAGTTTTAAACATTATTTTGTGGTTTTTAAGGATTGCCGACAAATACTGAGAGAGAAATGAAGGAGAAATACAGACAACAACTTTGGGAAAGAAATATTGATTTGTGGTATAAATATAGGGATGAACTCATGGCTATAGGATGTCCACCACTATATGAGTTCCAGTACTGGAGCCCATCCCCTTATGCTAACTTCTATTTGGCCCCTAAGGAACTGGATTATACGGACATCAGACCACTTCCCGACACTTTCCATGGATTTGATTGTTTCAAACGCAGTGGAAGTGAAGACACTTTAGAAATACCGGATAATCTTAAGAATAGGTCCGGAAAACTGATTTTCCTTTCATTTGATATGTTTGTGTCCAGAGATGTAGAGCTCATGAAGAGATTGGTTGCGATTTTGTCCAAATCTAAGCACCGGTTCATTGTCTCCAAAGGTCTCAAACATAATGAATATGAATTGGCGGACAATATGTGGGGTAACCATAAGCCATTCAATGCTCCGAAGAGGCGATGGTTTCACAAACCGATTGTTGTTTTTGCAGTACTTTTCAGTCAATTAGTGTTACGACAATTGGTGTCAATACTAATACCACAACAAAATCCAGAGTTTTATGCCATCATTGGGGACTTCACCTATTTTTTTGGTGCATCTTGGTTTAGTTTCTCCATTTCATTGATATCAGTTACCATTATAGCCCTGTCCTCACAGTTACTAAGCTTTTATAACTTCATGAATGGTATAAAACCGCGGGATTTGTGTGTATTTTGGATGCTTTCGGGATTAATAACACCCATTAGTATTGGGATTCACGACGAACAAGTGGTCATCAAATTGCTGTCATTTACCAGAAAATGCATTAAATTCACACAAATTATAACAAATTCAATATTCTACGTTTGTTCCATATGTGGTATAATTATATTTTTGTTTGGACTCAAATCACCCACCTATGTACTTACACTGATAACTTGTATCCATAGTATCCTATTAGGTCTATCTGGCTATTATCTTAATAGCATAATAATGTGGCAATTAGTGTATTACGCGATTATTGTTTACTATTTGTGGCTTAAAATTCAGTCATTTATTCAACGATTAGTAGCCATTAATAATAGGATTCAAAGTCTTCATCAAATTATGGGTAAACTAAACGATATATTCACAGAAATCAATGAATATAACCGTATTTATTGGCAATACTTTTTGGCAATTTATTGGACCCTGATTACTGTATTTATTGCCGTAATATTATTGGTATCACTTTATGGGGACGTTATATTCATAGTTAAAATGTCCACATTCTTTATAACCATAGAATTCCTATTAAGTTTGGTGTTTATTATACACTATTCAGCGATTCTTTACAATCAGAATATTATTCTATATAAATATTTCAACACATATTACTCGCGTAACCGAACTAA